AGTCCACCATTTGAATGGTGGGAGTGAGGTGATTAAGGGAAAGCGGCGATACAGTCGTGATACCAACAAATGAAACTCGTCCAGACACGCATTTTCTCTTCGCTGTATGCTCGTACAAACCGAATCAACAGTGTTCCTGATTGTTTTTTTTTCTTATTAGTCTCACTGCCAACCATTTGTGATCTTTAAGGCTGCAGTAGTTGAATCACCGTAGTGTTCATGATTCTTGAAAGTTTAATGTTCTTTGAATGTTTTCGAAACCTTTGAAGATTTGGCTTTGCCTATTTTGCGCTTTGCAGTGCAATCATCCCCGCAGCAAGAAAAGCACTACAATTCGCGTGTGGTAATGCACTGATTTGTGAAACTGCTGAAGACGCGAGGACTCTTGCATATGGTAGCGCTGGAGGTGACAGGTCTGTCTAGAGTCAACTTCAAGATTTCTCTAAACGGATATCGTTTTTTTTACTACGATTTCTTAGGCAGATACAAAGCCGTTGCTTTGGATGGAACCATGTTCCAGCAAAGCGGAGTGATTGGAGGTGGTAGTCATGAGTTGAAAATGCGTGCGAAGAAATGGGACGAGAGGGACTTGAAGTAGGTTTTTGAACGGTTTGTTAAAGATAAGGGGCATGTTGGCTGAGGGCGGGCGGTTGCTGCCAACGTTATTGGTGGATGGGCTGCGAGAGGGCATTTGGCCACACCCCATTCAGCCCTTGCACCAGTGACGTTGGCAGCAACGGCCTGCCCCAGCCATCGCGCAATGCCTTTAAGTTTCGCGCAGTGTAGATGAATCCTTTGAAATTGTGATAATTGGTTTTTAGACAATTGCGTGAACGTCGTGCCCAACTTCAAGAGGAAAGCAATACTCTGCACAGGAACTCGACGAAAGGAATTGGACGTTGAGATGCAAAGGTAAACAAAAGAGTTTATCCAGTAGGTATATAGCCGTGACTGCCGCTAATCCGTTTTTATGTTCGATGGTCGGTTTTGCCTACTTTTATCCCTTTCGTTGTCTCGTTGTCTGATCTTTGCAGTATTGCGTATGTACTGTAGCCTGTCCGCCGGCTTTTGTCGCAGAACGCTTCTTTGAAGAGTCCAAAGATCAAACCGAAAATTCTACTGGTCGTATTGGTTGCTGCAAGGAGGGAGTCGTATTCAGTCCAAGAAATTTTATTCTTGACCGTTGACTTTTCGTGTTCCACATGCGCTATCTACATCACTGGGAGAATTCCTGATGGGGAGTTGTCCTATTTGCCCTCTGAAAAAATTTCTCGTCCCCCTTTCCTCTCACCCGACCGAGTCGGAACGATTTTCTTGCTTCTGTGCTTGGGCGTTTTCGCTTTCCCCAAAATGGTAAGTAGGACAGGGGAGGAGAGTGGTCGTATGTTCCAAAATTTTTGACCAGAAGCAGGAAAAGCCCTGACTGAGAGAGCTGGTTAGCGCCACACGTAAATTAGTGGCTTTCCGTGATCTTTAACCGTTGGTTCACCACTCCGATAATTATATTTCAACTTTGTCTCTTTCAGAAATAAGCTGACCTCAGTTGAGTATCGGCTGAAAAATATGCAACTCGAGAAAACCAAGTGTGAGACTGACACACTCAATAAGTTGACCTTTGACCCTTGAAAGCCCTCGAGTCTGAGCTCACGTGTGGATCCGGTGAGTCCATGTGAGGCCTCAGCAATGCTTAAAATCGCAAATTACGTTGACAGCATGATTTTAGCCCAAAATCGAGGAGATAGAAGAGCGCATGCAGGAAAGAGAGAGGGAAATAGCGAAGATCGAAGAGAAGAGTAACGCTGTTGCGGATGATGTGAGTCTTTTGTTTTTGGGACTTTTTTTTTTAAATTTCTTTTCTTTGGCTCGAGGCTTTCATTGCTGCGATTCAGGTTTTTTGCAAGTTTTCTTGCAGAAAGGTGGGATTAAGAAACATTCGTGAGAATACGAAGAGGCGTGAAATTGCGGTGAGCGTTTTTCTCGTAACAAACTTCCGGGACGCACTTCGGCGAAGGGGGAGGGGGCATTTTGCGCCTTCCCACTGCCCTGTCCAATGCTTTACAAGAATTGACAAGTCGTATCTACAAGCTTTATTGGAATACTTCATTCCTGTTCAAGCTCTATCGGATCTCTACTTAATGATTCGACACGACAATGGGAAGCAGCGGAAATGCAAAACGCCCCCCCCCTTCCCTCCCCGCCGTCGCCGAACTGCGCCAACCTCTAGTTATACTAGAATTTAGCCAAGTGCTCGTTCAGATTCCATCAGGAAAGGGTTGACCGCATGCGGGAGTTCGACAACGAACTTGACCGTATTCGTAATGAGCTGGAGTATCTGCGTTCCGAGGATAAAAACAGGAAAGGTCAAACAGGAAATGGATAAGGTTAGGAGGGGATCAGTTTCCACCAAAGGCCTTATTTGCTTGACTGGTGTAATCAGTGAGTTCGAAATATTACGTTTTAGGTGAAAAATCTCGAAAAGGAACTGGAAGCTCTGAAGAAAAAGGAAACAAAGGAAGGCAAAGTACTAGCGCGTTTAGAGAAAGAAATGGAAGACTTGAAGGTTGCCGCCATGGAAAAGAAAAACGAACAAGAAGCTTTGGAGCAGGAACTTGGTGCCGTGAAGAAAGATGCTCAGGTCAATTTTCACGTTCACTCAATGTACATTTCATCATTGCTAGATAAATGCCCTGCTCTCAGTTTTTTTTTTCTGAAACTGAGGACGTAGCTTTGTTTTAAGGGGCGTAATTGCCTATGAGGCATTCACTTTTCATTGTTCTCCATTCTGTGAATTAAAACTAGACAGGACCCGCTAGGTGGTGCGTCTGTGATTAAAAATGCAAAAAAAAGCGCGTAGATGGCACTTCAGATGGGGTCCCTTTAGTTTCACGCGAGCGCAGCCGGCCAATAGGACCGACCACTGGCGGTAGTCTTACATCCATGGCTGCCGCAATTCTTTTCCTCGAAGTGATGTCGATTTACCTATGAGCGCTTAGTAGAGGCGGTTCGACTCGGCATATGTGAATATCCAACGTTTAATTTCCTGAATACGCTAGTGGAATGCGATACGACGCATTAGCATCGCTTTTGGTCACAACCAGTCACCCTTGCAATGATCCATTTTTAATTCAAATGCTATGTTTTCAGGTAAAATGTGTAAAATTCTTGCGTATTCAGCAGCTGCCTAGTTAGCAGAACTTTAGCGATTTGATGGTCGCAGGTCCGTTCTGCGACCGTGAGAAAGGCCGCTCGGAGGAAAACATGAAACTCGAGAAATCGTTCTGCACGTGGAAGTTCTGCGTCTCGAGTCGGGTACTTCGGTGTACACTCTTTCCAAATGGCCGGATCAACCTTGCCAGGGTTCCCTTGTGAGAAGCAAGGGGGGGGGGAAGGGCTGGCAATATTGTGGCAGGGAAGTCAGTTTGTTTCGGTTTTTTCTCCGAACGAACTTATTCCCCAACCCAATACTTTCAACCCAATACTTTCTCTTCTTCCTCTACTCTGCCCAGTTGCACCGTGAGAATGAGGCAATTCGGATGAAAAGACCCGGTCGACAAGGTCACGTCATCCTACTCCACGACAGCGCCAGGCGGCACAAGTCGTCAAAGCCGCACTCCAAGAGCTTGGGAAGGTTCTTCGGCATCCACCGTACTCTCTGTACCTTGCGCCAACCGACTATCACCTTTTCCGCTCCATGTCAAAACAAATGAGGGGTGTTACCTTCGAAGACGAGGATGACCTCAAAAACTGGCTCAACAACTTCTTCGACATTAGACCTGTCGATTTCTGCGGAACGGTACATCAACAAATTGGTCGAGAGTGGAGGTAGGTCGTAGATGAATGAAACGGGAAATACATATGTGAATTAATTCATTGTCATGAAGTATTGTTTTGGTTTAAAAAAGCCCTTTGAAAAAAACGAATTTTTATTCCGAACACCTTATTCTTCTCCGCAGTAGTTACATGTCTCGTTACTCCCCATCCCTTTTCCTTTTGGGCCCCCGCCCCCCTTTTTTTTTTTTTTCCCCCCCCCTCATTTACGTTTTTATTATTTTCTTATCAAAAGATTGGCTTACACATACCAGAAGGAGTTGGTGGCGAAACATGCGTCCAGAAGAGCAAGTATAAAGAGATGGAAACGGTGCCTGCGAAGCAAATTTGGCAGAACCCTGCCCATGATCTCTTTCTCCTTTTCTCTCTTTCACACCTTGGTCCTTCCTGGCTTCCTTGCACTATGATTATTATGATAAAGTTCGATCAGAACGCCACATGTTATCTCTGTGTTAAACTATTTGTGCGGTGAACGAGACTTGTTTACTTCGCAAGCGGACGTTGACGACTCATGCAGTGTGCTATGACGGCGGTGATTTGTTGTCTGATCATTTGCTGTACTATCGTCTGATCAACACATTGCGACTGATAGTGCGCCTCGGCAAACGATCGCTTTCCAGCAAGTTTTTCTCTATTGCAAAGTTAAACGGTGATGCTTACTGTCCTGATAAGATAGACTGATTATTTCAATTGCATCGGCTGCCAGCTGAACCCTGATTGTAGTCTTGTTGTGACGCACGTCTGTAAGCGCCTTCCCGGTCCATACTTCACTACCTACTTTCTCACTTCAACCCACATCACGTCATTGTTTACCAGCTTGTGTGGCCGATTCTCCCACATATCCCTTGACTCGTTCCCCTAGAGAGCTTGAGCCTGGATTTTTTTTTTCGGATTAACGTGTCCAGGTTCCTATAACAAACAGTTAATATTGTCCGCTGCTTACTTGCAGGAACTAAGCGTTTGTCAACCTTGTGATTTATACCTTTGCGTTGGGTGAGAAATGTTTTCATTCTTATCTAACTCGAATATGTTTTTCAGGCAGCCCAACGCGAAGTGACAGGTGCCGAGAAAGCAGTTCTGGCGTTAGAGAGCTTGGTTAGCCGAAAACATGCTGAAAGACATGCATTGCTACACTCGGCGAAGATCAACCAGGTTCAAATTCCACTCACCTCAGGCAGCTTGGCTGATGTTGACGCTGAAGATGAAGATGGTAAGGGTCACAAAGTGTGTCTGATTACTTGACAACCCTCAATAATGGCACGGTTTTTACAGAAAAGTACGATGGAAGTCAACAACAAACTCGCAACCACCCTTTCGCTAAGAAGCAAGATTGAAGAGAGAATCGAAAATAAAAGTCAACTATAAGGCGCTTCCTGAGAATTTGAAGGATGTAAGACTCAGTTACTAATTTATTAACTCATTTGTTATCTGCTTGTGCTGGCAACAGTTTCTTCCTTTTGTAGGGCTCAAGACGAAGACGAAGTTTAAGAGGCATGTTTGAAAGAATGAACAAAGAAATAAATGACGCTCAGACGACGTTATCGCGATTGAATGCGCCCAATCTTAAAGCAAGTCAAAGGTATAGTTTTGTGATTTGGGTTAAACTATTGCGGGGTCAAGGGCACCCTTTCGCCTTTGAACGAACAGTGATTTGTCAAATTTTGCTGACAAGATGCTAAGTAACAAGCAGTGAAGAGAAAAGCCCTAAAAAACCCGCCCGAAATGGCACATGTAGAACACGTTCAGAACAGCGCTGTGCGGCATAAGGCGAAGAAAGGGCGTGGTCGGACGAGTTCTCGCTCGCCGGTATCGATTCTTCCCTTTTTTACCCGATTTTCACCAGCTGAAATGAGAGAGAGCTAGTATAGGACCGCACCTCCAAGGATGCCTCAGAAATGAAAGCTAGACGTTGCCGTGGACAGTGGGCGGAGCCGTAGCCTCGTCGCGAGTACAGTCGTCATCCGGAGACTTGATTGGGCGGCAAGGGTCGGCGACGCGGCTGCGGCGTGTCACGAGCGCGGCAATCAGCTGTTTCCGGCCTAATTTGGCCATTTTCTGTCTAATTTTTAACGGATTTCATTCTATTTTTTTCCAAGGCCATTTGCTTTATCGTCCTTATGCAGTACTTCAGGGCGTAGTCTTTTTTTTCGTTTTTGCAATAGAGTGTTTTTGCGTTTTTTCTCAGGTTTTTGTTCGGTTGTCTACTCAACTGTTTAATTGTGCGCGGAAATCAGAGAATCTCAATCGTAGTTTTTTCTTGTGAATTCAAGGAACAACTATTTGTGAGAAAAGCAGCCAAAACAGCGTAAATTAGGGAGAAAATGGCTAAAATAGGTTGGAAACAGCTGATCGCCGCGCTCGGATGACACACGCAGACGCGTCGCGATCCTTGCCGCCCTAATTAAGTCCCCGGATGACGACTGTAGGTCGCGCTGTCTTGTATTTTTGAGCTGTGGTAGTAGTACAACCTCTACTTTCGGACAGAGTTACTTGTTCAGAAGGCGTCTGCTCATCAAATGAATGCGGGGGTGCTTTCAGGTTGGATAAGGCCCAGTTAATGAAGAGCGCAGTTGAAGACTTGCAGGAAATAAGTGAAAATGGCCGGATAGAAATAGACTATTTTCTAGGCCGCATTTTCACTTACTTTCCTCTATGACTTTAGCCTACGCGCGTGCGCAGCATTTTGGAAAAAATGGGGAGCACTCATGAAGAGTAGGGAAAGTGTGAATCTGAGAGGGGGAGAGGGTAGATAAAACTTTTTTGTCTGATGTGCACCTATGTTCTCTGATTTAATCTAACCTGTGTTTATCTGTATTTTTTTACCTTGTGGGCCAGCGCTTTAGCGATGCGTTTTTTTTCATTCAATCCCTTCTTTCTTTTGTAAAATTGTAATTTTGTTGATGGCAAATTTTGTTGTCAGGATGGAAGAAGTGAAGGAACGAGAAGCGGAGACTACTGAGGAATGTGAGATGGCGCGTAAAAAAGCAAGGAAAATCCGGACGTACTTCGAAAAAGTGAAAACTGAGCGGTACCGGAAATTCCAGGAGTGCTTCGAGACTGTTAGCCAAAAAATCGATGAAATCTACAAGGTAATTTTTGTTGCAAGCGAGCAGTCGCTTGTTTTTTCATTTGTTTATCTATTTATTTACTCATTTATTTCGCTTGTACATGATGCGCCATGAATGATAGCAATAAAAAATGCATTTGACAGCGACAAAGGAAACGGCACGCACATGTAGCTGCTTAGAAAGGCATAGAAAGCGTAGATGAGGTGGGACAAGTGGTGTGCTTATCACGCGCGCCGTCCAGGGGTAAACTCCTAAATGGACAATGCCAAGCTGGCCCTAAGAAGATATTAGGTTGGCGGAAAAGTTTTGTCACTTATTTTCGAACTCAATTACTTGCTCATTAGCAAGACGGGGTAACCGGTAATGTAAGCTCTTGTACAACAAGGAGTGGTCTCTCTGTTAGTACCACTCGCTTGCCTCTTGCTCCTTCTTCTGCAATATGCACAAGGATTTTATCCGCTTAGCGCGATCAGCCCCGACCGCAACACTTCAAAAACTATTCAGACTCCACACACCTGACGGCCACCGGTTAGCTGGCGATGGCGCAATTGATGGAGCTGAATAAGCACCATGCCCCCAATCATCGAGCAACCTTACCACGACAGTGACTCTTCAAGTCAGCTTGAGGGAGCTATGGGTCGGGAAACTGCTGGATGAAGAAGCTGCTTCCTTGGTCAAGGCGTACGCAAAGCAGCTACGAGATCTAAGGCGTATCGTGGATCAGAGGGAAAATTGTCCGCAAAAAGTTCGACCTGTACCGTCAATGCAATGCTTGATCTCTCTCCGCCTTGCACTTTGTAGCAAGCAAGACACCGCCCTTCTCATAGCAAGTTGCCTCCGTAATCGACGAACGAGAAACCTTCCATAACCCAAGTTCAAGTCGAAGTTGAGATGGTGTCCAACTTTGCGTCGTGTCTCCCTGCATAGTGAAGCGATGGCATCCATGAGGTGCTCAAACAGTGGCAAGGACCCCGCAGTTACATTGCTTGTACAATTTTGATCTTCACGTCGACAGCTGCCATGCTGGCGCCAGGGTGGTAGAAGAAATAGTTTAAGGAAGCGCTTGAAGGGGTCGGTGCTGAAGGTAGCGGATAACATTCTTGTCCATAATGCAGAATAAGGATGAGCAGGAGCCGAGCCAGTGACACTAATAGAAAGATCAATCCTTAATGTATAAATGCTCACATTACCGGTTAGCCCTCTTCAGGTAATAGGCGAATACTTGGGTTCAAAAAAGTATGACAGAACTTTCCCGCCAACCTAATAGTATCATAGGTTTTCAGAAGAAAGGCATATGGAAGGAATTTTTTTCAGTTCTTCTAGTTCCAATAATCGAAAGACATTTTTGTCGTAATTCCCATGCATTTCCAGGAACAACGCTATCCTCCTGAAACCTTCCTACCTAATCATGGCCTTGACGTTCATCCCATCAACGAGAAACTTCGAGAGCTCACGTACCCGAAAGGAGTGAAGTTGGTCTTTGACGTGATCCAGGTGAGGACATCTTAAACTTTTTAGTCTTGTAACATTTATCAGCAGGATGCCGAGTTGTTGACGATAGACTCGACCCTCGAACCCATACCTCACGTTTGCCGGGCGAGCTCGCTGTTTGTTACGTCAACGGGACTTTTGCCCTCAGAGCTTAATGGTTTTTGTTCCCTAACATTACAGTACTCAGACGTTTAAGGTAATGAGGGGTAGGCCGGGGGAGAGACTGAATTGTGGTGAAAGTTTCACATGATTTTGACCTTATTGTTATCAAAAATGGTAAAGGCACGTTCCGCGTTCACTTGATGTGCAGGCGCCGTACTTGAACAAGGCAATTTTGTCAACAGGTATAAAAGGCGTGCCATTCATCGCTCAAGAACGCGAACCGCACGTGCGGAAACAGTGCCCCACCGCCTAAACACGGGCCCAACGTACCTTTCTATTAGATTGCGTGTGGCGTGTTCTCGCTGCTTTCAGTCCACCATTTTGAATGGTGGGAGTGAGGTGATAAGGGAAAGCGCCGATATAGTCCTGATACCAACAAATGAAACTCGTCCAAGCACGCATTTTCTCTTCGCTGTATGCTCCTCAAAACGCGAATCAACGAATGTTCTGCTGGTTTTGTTCTTTACTTATTGAACTGACTGCCACTTTTGTTTAATCCAGTTTATTAGTACCCACACCAGCATGTGTGGTCTTAGCCGGCACTATGTAGATCACGCGACGTAGTGGTTCTAAATTTGAACGTGTTAATGTTCTTTGAACTGTTCTTGAAATCTTTGAAGTTGTGGCTCTGCTTATTTTGGCGCCTTTGCAGTGGCAATCATGCCGGCACAGAAAAGCACTACAATTCGCGTGTGGTAATGCACTGATTTGTGAAACTGCTGAAGACGCGAGGACTCTTGCATATGGTAGCGCTGGAGGTGACAGGTCTGTCTAGAGTCAACTTCAAGATTTCTCTAAAGGTGGTATGTTTTTATTACAGATTCTTACGAGATACAAAGCCGTTGCTTTGGATGGAACCATGTTCCAGCAAAGCGGAGTGATTGGAGGTGGTAGTCATGAGTTGAAAATGCGTGCGAAGAAATGGGACGAGAGGGACTTGAAGTAAGTTTTTGAAGCGGCTATTGGTAAAGATAAAAGGGGCATGTTGGCTGATGGCGGGCGCGTAGCTGCCATACGTTATCTGGTCGGATTGGGCTGGCGAGAGAGGGCGATTGGCCACACCCATTCATGTCCCTTGCTACAGTGACGTTGGCAGCAACCGGCTGCCCAGCCATCGCTCAACTGACCTTATTTTTCGCGCGAGATAATGAATCCTTCGAAAATTGTGTGAAGTAAGTGTCACTTTTCGACAATTGCGTGAACGTCGTGCCTCAGACTTCAAGAGGAAGCATACTCTGCAACAGTTTGAGCCGACGGAAAGGAATTGGACGTTGAGATGGCAAGCGTAACAAAAGAGTTTATCCAGTAGTATATCAGGCCGTATGACTGACGTTCTTGTCCGGTTTTTAGGTTGCGATATCGTTTTTGCGCTACCTTTGCCCTCCCCTTTTCGTTGTCTCGTTTGTCTGATCTTTGCAGTATTGCGTATGTATTGTTCCTGCCCGGCCCTTTGTGCAGAACGCTTTTTGAAGAGTCAAAGAATCAACCGAATTTCGGAGCCGGGAATTTCGTCGTACGCTAGAAAATCTATGTCGTATTGGTTCGGTGCAGGGAGGGAGTCGTATTCAGTCCAAGAAATTTTATTCTTGACCGTTGACTTTTCGTGTTCCACATGCGCTATCTACATCACTGGGAGAATTCCTGATGGGGAGTTGTCCTATTTGCCTCTGAAAAAATTTCTCGTCCCCCTTTCCTCTCACCCGACCGAGTCGGGAACGATTTTCTTCTGCTGCGCGCTTGGGCGTTTTCGCTTTCCCCAAAATGGTAAGTAGGAAAGGGGAGGAGAGTGGTCGTATGTTCCAAAATTTTTGACCAGAAGCAGGAAAAGCCCTGATGGGAGAGAGCTGATTAGCGCACACACTACATATGGTTCTTTCCTGGATCTTTTAACCGTTGGTTCACCACTCCGATAATTATATTTCAACTTTGTCTCTTTCAGAAATAAGCTGACCTCAGTTGAGTATCGGCTGAAAAATATGCAACTCGAGAAAACCAAGTGTGAGACTGACACACTCAATAAGTTGACCTTTGAACTTGAAGCCCTCGAGTCTGAGCTCAGTGTGATTCCGGTGAGTCCATGTGAGGCCTCAGCAATGCTTAAAATCGCAAATTACGTTGACAGCATGATTTTAGCCCAAAATCGAGGAGATAGAAGAGCGCATGCAGGAAAGAGAGAGGGAAATAGCGAAGATCGAAGAGAAGAGTAACGCTGTTGCGGATGATGTGAGTCTTTTTTTGGACTTTTTTTGAATTTCTTTTCTTTGCCTCGAACTTTATCGCTGCGATTCAGGTTTTTGCAAGTTTCTGCAAGAAGGTTGGAATTAAGAACATTCGTGAATACGAAGAGCGCGAAATGCGGTGAGCGTTTTCTCTACAAACTTCCGGGACGCACTTCGGCGAAGGGGGAGGGGGCATTTTGCGCTTCCCACTGCCCTGTCCAATGCTTTACAAGAATTGACAAGTCGTATCTACAAGCTTTATTGGAATCACTTCATTCCTGTTCAAGCTCTATCGGATCTCTACTTAATGATTCGACACGACAATGGGAAGCAGCGGAAATGCAAACGCCCCCTTCCCTCCCCCGCCGTCGCCGAACTGCGCCAACCTCTAGTTATACTAGAATTTAGCCAAGTGCTCGTTCAGATTCCATCAGGAAAGGGTTGACCGCATGCGGGAGTTCGACAACGAACTTGACCGTATTCGTAATGAGCTGGAGTATCTGCGTTCCGAGGATAAAAACAGGAAAGTCAAACAGGAAATGGAATAAGGTTAGTAGAGAACATCCACCAAAGGCCTATTTGCTTGACTGGTGATCAGTGAGTTCGAAAATTGGTGACAGCACCATGTGTGTGCACGCGGCCTACAGAGAGCAGGGGCGTGAGACACACAATGTGTGTCTCGCGATAATGTGTTGAAAAGCCGCATGATGCAAATAAGGCCTGTTAGGGGACTGAACTTTGATCGATACATTAATTTCATATGCGGTAATTTTTTTCAGATTGACTATCTTACGGAAAATGCGGAACAACAGAAACAGGTCCTCCAAAACGAGAAAGTCAATCTGGTATCAATGGAGAAGCAAGTGAAGGAAAGCAAGGAAAAGTTAGAGAAGGTGCTGAAATAGCTGTTGTAGTCATTTCTGTTGTCTTTTACTCCCAACCTTGCCGTTTTCAGGTATCTATTGAGCTTAACGAAATCAATAAACAGCTCTCTGATGCAAGTGGTGATTCGGCGGAATCAGAGCGTGTAAGAAGACGCAATGAAGCCATTGAAAATCTTAAGAGGGTTTTCCCAGACAAGGTAAAAAACGATTTTCAAACCCGGTCAAAACATTTCAGTTCATTCTCTACGTCAAGTTTGCTTGTAACCCTTTGGAACGCGTTCATACTCAGGGGCGATCGAGCGAAGTATGGACGCGACCGTTAGAGGTGTGCCTAAATGTGACGCCTTTGCAGAATATGCTTTCAAGGTCCATGGTCGTCTGGTCGATCTGTGCCAGCCTAGCCATAAGCGCTTCAATTTGGCTGTGACGAAAGTTCTCCAAAAGCATATGACGAGTATTGTCTGCGACACTGAAGATACTGCAAGGGATGCGATCATGTATTTGAAGGTGAATTGATATTTACTTCAGTTTTTTTTTTTTGCTCGGCGATAGGAGTAGAGGCAGGTGGGTAGCAGATTCGCAAGCAGTTTGCTGTTTGTAATGGGGGGGGGGGGGGTGTACGAAGCAGTATCCACAGAAAGTGGGATACCGTGCCCTAGGTGTAGTATTAGTTTTGCGGGAAAGTTCAATTTTTTTACAAATTAGGACTTTCCTTTTTTAAGCAGAGAGGCGTACAAGATCAAAATTATACAGCAAGTACAAGATCAAAATTATACAGCAATGTTATTGAGAGATCCTTGCCAGTTTTTGGACAGTTCGTGGATGCCATCGCTTAACAATGCACGCCGGCGCGACGCAAAGTTGGACATCATCTCAACTTTGACTTGGGCTCAAGTCGTGGAGGTTTTCTCGGCTGTATGACGGTTGAATACGGGAGGCGACCTATCTGGCGCATCAGATAAGAAGCAGATCGTTGTGGCTGGACCACCGGTGTGCAAGGGGAGAGCCATCCAGCTCTATTGCATGAAGTACGGCTCGAACTTTTTTTGACGGGGTGTGCTGCACCAGCACGTTGAAGACGGACTGTGCCGATGGATTTTGCCCTCTGCTTGACGATTCGCTTCAGATCTCGTAGCTGCCTTGCGTACGGATTGATCCGAGGAGGCAGCTTCTTCATCCAGTAGTTTCCCGACCCACCGCTATCTAGAGCTGAGTTTACAGGTACTTTCCAGAACTCAGCTACGTCATTCGAACGCGTAGGCTTCCGCTCTTGAGAGAGGCTGCCGTGCGTGGAGATTGGGTCTGGCGACTGTAGACATTGTCCTATGTGGGCAGCTCTTATTTCGAGTAGACAGCTGCCATGCGGCGGCCACGGGTAGAGAAAATAGTTCAAGGAAGTCGCTTGAAGGGGTTCGGTGCTTGGAAGGCCAGCGGATAACATTCGTTGTCCATAATGCAGAATAAGGATGAGCAGGAGCCGAGCCAGTGACACTAATAGAAAGATCAATCCTTAATGTATAAATGCTCACATTACCGGTTAGCCCTCTTCAGGTAATAGGCGAATACTTGGGTTCAAAAAAGTATGACAGAACTTTCCCGCCAAACTAATAGTATCATAGGTTTTCAGAAGAAAGGCATATGGAAGGAATTTTTTTCAGTTCTTCTAGTTCCAATAATCGAAAGACATTTTTGTCGTAATTCCCACGCATTTTCAGGAACAACGCTATCCTCCTGAAACC